CCAGGGGCTCCTAAGTCAGGGGACTGCAGAGAGCCCTCGGTGGGCAGCAGGGGGAAGCACAGTGAACACTATACCCAAGACAGCGTTAGCATGAACATCAGCCGTGATGGTACCAGAGCTGAGTGGCCTGGTGGGCCGCATGGGCCTATGGCCCTGATATGCAGTGTGTCTGTGTCCCCAGTCTGTTCTGGCCACACACTAGGTATTTGACATCCTCTCGAGAATAGGGATTAATATCCCAGCTCAGAGGCCAGCATACTTTATGCCATCCACATGGGGTCAGACATGAGACCTCCATGGTCCACCCAAACCAGTTTCCCAGCAGAAGGCCCAGCCAAGATGGGATGGTGTATATGTCAGGCTCTGTCCTGTTTCCAGAAGGACTTGTGAGGTCTCTGTACCCATAAAGGGCTCTTAGAGATCAACCAGAGCATTCAGAGATCACTCCCCGGGGTAGTGAGCAGACTTAGTGAATGACCAACCATGGAATAAGAATGTGGCAGGCATTCCACTAGGCCATAGCACTTCCATGCCGTAGACAAACAGTGACTCCTAAAGATGCCCATGTACTCATTTCCAGAACCCGTGGATGGATATGTTACCCTATATGGGAAAAAGAATTTTGGCAGATGTGATTAAGTTACAAATCTTGCAAGGAGGGATTAACTGAGATTATCCAAGTAGACTCAGTATAATCACAAGGGTCCTTATTTTTTAATTTTTTCACGCTTGATTTTAGTTTTTATTTTTATTAGTACATGTCTGCAGGATGAATGATGACATTCATCATGGAGAGTTCATACATGAATGTGACACATTTTACTTATCTTTCCCTTCCCCTGTTCTTCTATCTCTTAGTATTCTTCCCATTTGCAAACGATCTATTTCCTTGTTTCTTATTATAATTTATTTTGCTCTTTAGATTATTACTTCTTTATTTATTTGGTACAGAGTCTTGCTACACAGCTCAGACTCTTAATGATCCTCCTGTCTCAGCCTCCTCAGCACTGGTATTACAAGTGTGCACCACCATGCCTGGTTTCGGTGGCTGGCTCGGCGCGGGGCCAGCACTTTGGTCCTGAGGATTGAACCTGTGTGCTTATGCTTGCCAGACAGGCACGTAGACTGCTGAGCTATCTCCCCAGCCCTGGATTTCTCTTTTAATGAAAAGAATCCTTCCGGATTCTAGTTAAAGTTGATGGCTATTTTAGGAATCAGTGCTTTCCTAGAAATGGTCCTGTCTGTAAATGGGAGGGGAAAAATCTTTCATGGACTGGCTCAATGCAGTCCTGTCTAAGATCTGTCTAAGAGAGTCTAAGAGCTGGGCAGTGCCACACTTCCCAGCTCTGTGCCCAGCTTTGAGGCTGGAGTGATTATCCTTTCTGTGCTCCACAGTTTGGAGTTGCTGTGTGTCTTTGTTACTTTAGCCAGGGAGGCCCAGGAACACCACTGGCAAAGGAAAATATAGTGAGTCTGAGCCCTAGGTACCCTCCATCATGGGAAGTCATGTGCATTGGAAGACACAGGTCCTAGTGGCCCTGAATTGTCCCTGGGGCAGGGCAGGATCTTCTCTACCTTCCCAGCTTGGATGAATGAGTTATTTGCTTCATGCATTCAAAATTTCTGATACCAGCTGCCACTGCCATGGTCATTATGGTTGTCATTGCTGTCTGGCATGGGACACCTGCTGTCTTGCCTAGATACTTTGTAGACTGGTCAGAAGCTTTCTCTTCCAAGCTGGCTTCAGAAGCCTCTGGAGCCCTGGATGGGTTTGGATACAACTTATCCAACAGAAGTACCAGCTTTCTTCAGAGCCAGCAGGTAGTCCAAATGAAAGAGGCAGAGTGAGATCTGCCTACAGTGGGATATGCATTGGTGGGCAGGAGGTGAGTGGGGCCACCATGGGACCAACAGAAAGCATTGTACCACCTACAGCCTGTGAGGGAGGTAAGCATCATGCCAACTAGAAGGTACAGGCATGGAACCTGGATTTAAAGAACAGGCAGAAAAATCTCCACCAGGCAGTGTGGGAACCTACGCTCCTGGACTGGCCCCTTGCTCCCAGCTGCTGCCTCACAAAGGCAGCCACTCCAGCCCACCTCTGTCTCTCCTCAACCCTCACTGTCAGGAGAATCCTCTTGAGAGGAAAGGTGAGGCACAACATCTTTGCCAAGTACTGTTGGCCACTGCACTTCTGATGCCCCACAGTGCCCCTCATGAGCTAGCTGTCAACAGCTGGTGCAGAACATGTGATCAGAGGCCAACAGCTCCCTGCCTGGGTGGCTCTGATAGAAAGCACATGGAATAGAGACTCCTGCTGACCCACCTCCAAGGGAAGCTGTGGGGATGTGAGGACCCTAGGGACCCAAGCCCTGAACTCTCAGCAAATACATCTTAGCCATTGGAAAGAGCCTGTCCAAGCTGTAGGCCCTCGCTGTCAAAGCAGCATCTTGGCAAGAGTTGGTTGCTCCTGCTGCAGCTGCTGCTGCAACATCTGATCTTGGCCAATCCCCTTGCTTCCTTCTGGTCCTGTTTTCCCATCCGAAAGCACAGGTGTGAGCCTGGATAAAGCGGGCCTGACCTAACTTGTTATTCTCAGAAGAGAGTTAAATGGCTGGGTTGCCCACTAGCATATGGCCTGGCCATTGCCTGAATGAGTGTCATTTAACAGCTGGAATCCTCTTGCTACCAGATGCCAACCTGGATTTGGCTGACAGGGTCTGATAAAATGGAAAAAGTAAGTGGTGGAGAGGGCAGTAGGGGCTAAGAGCCATGCTGGACATTCCAGGCCAATACTGGTGAATCAGAGCTTTCAGTGATACAAACAGCCCACTGTGGCACATGTACTATAGGTTCACCCCCACTGTTCTAGGCCCTCTTGATGCATACAAGGCCCTGCCTCCATTATAGGGTTGTCTTTGTCCTGAGGGGCCTTCTCCCTGTTAGAAAGTTGTTCCTTTTGAGCCAGAGCTCACCTCCCTACAGACTTTGCCAGTTGTTCTAATCAGAGACCAGCAGCAAGGACTAAGGTGATTTTTACATCAAAGATACTGAAAAAGCCCAGAAAAATAGGTAACTCTAAGGCCTGAAAGCTAAGACCTACTTTTCCCCAGGGAGGAGTCTGAGTGACCCATGCTGTCTCAGTGCTGAGCTGGGGAATGTACTAGTGGCAGCTTCCTGCTGGGGCTCAGAGCAGCCCTGGGCCTTGTCTTCTTTCTGGAGAACTGTGCAGCTCACTGAAAAGGGCTGTAGCTGCCTCCAGAGCAGAGGGCTCACCTGAGATAGGAGGTGGAGTAGAGAGGAGTTGGGCAGTTTCTTGGTGGACAGGGAAGAGATGGAGGCTTGGGGTAGCTGTTGAGGACACCAGAATGGGTGGGGCTACTGTCCTTCCCCTCATCCATGAACATATTTCATGGGGGACTAGAGAGCCAAGGAGAGGCTCAGGAGTGAAAATGGGACCTTTTCTGATTTTCTGTATGGCAGACCTGAGAGACACATAGGAGTAACTGATAGGGCCTGGGGCTGTGATCCTGCGGCTATCTCGCTGCCCATCCGATCTCAACTCTTCAGCGAAATGCCTCTTTCCCTGCCTTGCCCCACCCACTGCACCTTGCCTGGCTCCTGGTGATTTTTCCAGTGAGCTACCTGCTAAGGATCTGCTGGCTCATTCTCAGACACAGAGATGGGGCTCAGGCCCTATCATCCTGCACTGCATCCTGGATGATGAAATCTATGGTACTCAGGTAGACCTCCATTACTTCCATTGTTTCTTAAAAGAACTGGAATTTTCTAGAAGATAATGGAGAGGCATCAAACTCAAGCTGTTGGTGGCAGCACTAATTCTGCTCTATTCAATCAAAATCTGCATTCTTTTTTTAAAAATTTTATATCTTGGGTTACAGATTTCTTCATCTAAAAATAGTCTTGCTAATTACTTCTGAAACAAGGCATTTCAGGAACCCCTTAGCAGATCCAGGCTCTGGGACTCACAGCCAGCTGTGAGGCTCTGTGTTGTACCCAGCATTGAAGCAGTGGTAACACTAGGCCAGCTGCTCTAGGGGGTTCCCTGGGGCCCTGTACCCCCTGGACATAGGTTGGGCCAACAGGAAGGGAAGCAATAAGGGCATGTGGGCAGCTGTGTGAGAGGTTAGAGGGAGGGTGGGAATGGTCAAAGAGCCTCCTGTCCTCTGCGTGGAGACCCCAGCAGGCTGGCACTAGCAGGGGCCCAGCTGGGTGGCCTGGCACGATTTCAGTTGTTTTGTGTTTCCTTGTGGACAGCACAGTCTCTACCCAGAAGCCAGTGTCTACATGAGTGAGAGGCCATGTTTCTGCAGGAGAAATGGGTGCAAACCAGCAGAGGATTAGCCAGTGGAGCGGGGAGGACAGGGAAAGAAAACCTTTAATTATAGCCTGCGGGTATTCAGGCAGGCTTTGGAAAAGGAGTGCCACTGGGTTCAGCCTCAAGGAGGGTGAGATAAGTCAGGTGAGACCTCAAGGAGGTAGAGGAAGTATGAAGTTCCAGGCAGTGGGGATGCCATGCAATAAGTCCCTAACAGAAGCTCCCAACCATTTTCAGGGGCAGAGAAAGAATGGGTTTGGCCCTGAAGGTGTTTGCCACCCTGGATGGACCTACAAGTGTGGAAAAGGAACCCAGGCTCTATTCTGGGGGTGTCCATGTCCACCGAGCAAGCTCTGCCTTTCCAGTCAGCTCAGCCCACCCTTGCCTGAGGGCTGCAGTTCAGGGGAGCTGCTGCAGCGGCTTCAGCTTAGCCCCCTTCAAAGCCCAGTCCAAGCACTGTGCTTCAGGCTGGTCCCCATTTCTGGAGACTTGGATAAGCCCATTTTGGCTAGGCAGATCTGGGTAGGCACCTCATCATGGGGTGAAGCAGCATCAGGTATCATCCGGGAACTGACTGTTTGTATGGCCTTACCTCCTTACCCAGTTTGGCCCGGGCTGTGTTGGTTCAGCTGACAGCCACAGTAACTCTCTCTTCTCACAGATGATTCTGGAGACGACGAGGAAAGCAGTACCTCCCCGGCTGACAAGAGCGAGCTCCAGCACACGCTGAAGAATCTCTCCCTGAAGTTAGATGACCTCAGCACTTGCAATGACCTCATCGCCAAGCACGGGGCAGCACTGCAGCGCTCCCTGAATGAGCTGGACAGCCTCAAGATTCCCTCAGAGAGTGGGGAGAAGCTGAAGGTTGTGAATGAGCGGGCCACCCTCTTCCGAATCACATCAAATGCTATGATCAATGTGAGTGTTCGCCCCTACTGCCATCTAGGCATAAGGGTCTCAAAAGGGAGAGGGCTGTATGGCACCAGCCCTGGGATCCCCAAGTCAGTTGCCAGGGGTGTTTGAAGACTGTGCCTCCAATCATTTCCTATGGTTGAGTCATTTTTCAAAGCAGCCTTCCACACTCTGCAGCCTCTGTCGGTCAGCTTCACAAGGTCATTATTGGATGAGGACATTCATTGTAACTGTCTGGAAATGGAATAGACTATAGAATCTGGTTGAAGTTCACAGGTACTTCAGGAAGGTCAGGGCTCCAAGTTGGAAAGCCACCCTTGGCCCACCTAGGAGGGACATGGACACCATATTGTACCTGGCAGCTGTTCCTGCCCTATGCAGCCCAAGGGGCAGTGAGATCAGCATGGCAGAGGGGGTAGATATATGTGGTGGGGGGTTAGGGTTCCCTTAGATGGAAGAGCCTTCAAACTCTACCTGCCAAGTGTTGTGCCAACCTGAGAGTAGCTGTGCAAACTGCGGAACCACAGAAGGCAAACTCAGGCACCCTCCCTGGGTTCTGGAAACCAGGTTGCTGTGGCTGGGAGCCAGGAAGACAGTGTTTAGCCATGCTTTGGGGATCTTCTGCTTTCTGCCTAATGATCATCCTCTTTGGTCTGACTGAACAGTCTGTTCCCAAGAGGAGCCTCCTACAGAGGCACCTCTACCCCTGGTAGGTTTCAGGCCCCAGGAGTTGGGGGGGGTGCATGCTGGGAACAGGGGTTCAAGACAGAATGTGTGTACAGAGGTGGAGGCCCACACAGGGGAAAGTCAGGGTCCACAGCATGTGGCTTATTAAGTGGGTTATCAGGCTGGTGGCAACAATGGGCAATGCCCAGGGAAGCCTCAGCTGAGCGACCACACCTCCAAGGTAAGGGATCAGAGCTGACTCAGGCTTCCAGTTGGCACCTGGCTCTAATCCTGACAGAAAATTCAAGGGTAGGGTAGAAGACTGGCCCACTGCAGGCCAAGGGTCCCAGCCTAAATCCTAGGCGCACCTGCTCAGGCATGCTCAGGCCTGTAGTGCCTGCCTGATGCAACCCCAGGAATCCCTACCCTGGGGCCTGAGGCTGAGTAAAGTGTACCCTCTTCCCAGACTACCAGGAAATGTAGCCTAGAGGTATATGTACCTTTGTCCATCCCCAGATCTTACAGTGTCCAGGGCTGCAGTTGGCACTGTGGGCAGAGGGTGCTGCAGGGCTGCAGCTCTATGGCCACCCTGTGTGCTGGCCCTGTCATCAGTCTGGGCCCATGTCTCTTCCATCTACACACACTCTTGGGGCGCTGTCCTCCTTTTACCCTATAGATGCTTTAAGCCCAGGTACCTGAATTACCAACATCATACCCAGATACTGAGCACTCAGGGAAATAACACTTATGCTGTTTATGTTTCCTAAACATCTGGAACCCACTGCTGCCCACAGCTTCTCCAGCACTGCCTCCCACCTGAAAGGAAGCCACTTGGCCTGGAGTAAGCAGGTTTGGCTTTTCTAAGATAATGAGCTTCACAGCTGGCTGAAACCAAGCAGCATCTTTAATCAGGCATCAGAGGCTCATCTGTGTTTATGAAGCCATAAAACAGCTTGAGGTTTAAGTGCTCAATGAATTATTTTATGGCAAGCACAGCCTCCTGAGGTTGGTTATGAGGCTTATTTTCAGTCTGGACTCCAGAAAACATGTGACAGTCGGCCTTCGATGACAGGAGCTGCACCTTCTCAGCTGGGCTGTGCGGATGGGCTGTCATCAACCTCACATAAGGGCCTCTCCATTAGCAGAGGTGAGGGCTGACTTAACTGACTGAACTGGTTGTCCAGGCTGGCTCGGAGCTCAAGTTCCTTTTGGGGGTGCCTCCCCAACAACTGTTTCTCAACTGACAAGAACTGGATCTGCTCTAGGAGGGCTACTTTCATGGCTGTCATTAACATTAGGTGTCCAAGCCCCCACTGTGCTGAAGGACCATGTAGGAAAGCTGGCTTGAGGGTCATGGGACATGGGTCACCCTGGTTAGGCCTGGCTTCCCTGCCTGTTAAGAAGATAGTGGACCAGGGATCTACCACCCCCAATTCCCAAGGACCTGCTCATTCACTGACCTCTATTGTTAGTTCCAGAGTAGAAAGTAAGTTCAGAGATCACCTGAGCTGCCTAGTATCACCAAGCCTGGATGTAAACCCAGATTTGGGTGGGTTACTAGAACCATGATGTCCCTGAGCACATGGCCGCTGGTAGAGTGAATGGTCCTCTCCTGCTATAGCTTTACTCTGAAGTCTGGGTATCAAGTGGGTGGTCTCATAGCTACCCAGGGTGGGATCCCCATGTCAGGACTTATTTTTTTTTTGGAGACAAAGTCTCACTGTATAGTCCAAACTGGCCTTGAACTCAGAACCTCATTATGTCCCTGTCTTTTATCTTTAAATTTTCATGTGGCCTCTGATCACCATGACTGATGGCACAAATTTCATTCTGCAGATGTCACTATAAGGAGCTGTCTCTCCCCACTATGGGGATCACATTGCATCTTCTCTAACCTGCTCCCCACCCCCATCCTGCTCGTGATGTGGGCCAGGAAGCTTCCACCCGACTTCAGAGCATCTGCTCCCATTGACATCTTGGACACGATGAGGCCACCTGCTCAATGCTGCATTCAGCCCTAGTGAATGGTGGTTTTCACTTGAAAGCTGTGCTTGAGCCTGGGTCATGAGGAACTGGAGTAAGAGCAAGAGTAAGGAGTAAAGGCTGGCTGGTCAGACAAACCTCATGGGGAAATGAAGGGCAGCGGCCTCTCACTACCTAGACAGGGCCCTGCTGCTTCATTCCCATTTCTCCCCTGGATAGCAAAGAATCCAGCACTTTCCAGTCTTCAGGAGTAAAGTAGGGACAAATTTTAAATCTCCTTTAAATTTCAAGAAGCACATCAATAACATAAATCTTTTTGTCCCAAGCTCCCAGCAGAGCAGGGAAGGGGGAAGAGGTCACATGGATAATTCCCAGACCCAGGGTTCCATAACCAGTGGCACAGACTTATGTTGTATCTAGTGCTCCTGAAGGGCAGGGCAACATCCTCTACTCTTGTCTGGTAGGGTCTCTTTGTATTTGAGGGAGCTCTATGATCTGCTCTATGTCCCACTGAGGGACACTGCAGGGCTTCACCCTGTCTTTGCCAGTACTGTACTTCCCTTACCATGCAGTGAAGCCACGGCCATGTGGCTCCTACAGTTGGGGAGGTCCTGCCTTATGGGCACATTTAACACAGACATTAGCAGCTGCTATCTATCTGGGTCTCTGTCGGGGAAAGGAGTAGGTATCACTTCAGCAGGGAACAGGCAGGCCTGGCCATGCATGGAGCTCATAGTCCAGTGGAATTCCCTAGTAATGTGATGTTCAGTGATGTGATCATCAAGAGAAATGTTGATCCAGGGCTAGCAGCTTACATGGCTACCTTTGAAAGCCACGTGTAGGGAGGGCCAAGGGAGGGATTGGTCATAGTTGAGCGCACCTAGCTCTTTACCCTGGGAGGCAGAGCAAGCCCCCACTGGGCCTGCAGAGGGCAGAGGTAACTGCTTCAGAGCAGAGCCTGGAAGGAGAAAGAAGGGCTCAGGGTTCTAGCTCCTAAGGACGTGAGCCGGCCTTTCTCTGATTCTGAGCCTGCCACAGCCTTTTGCCTCACAGTAGGGAAATAAAGCCTTGGTTAGTAGCTAGCCAGGAAAAAGGGAAACAGATGTGGTCACCTCCACACATCCACACCTCCGCATTACCTCCCTCTTTGACCTGCATCTCACAGCACCTCATGGACTTTTCTACTACAATTTTGACCTATCCTCCCTGCAAGGGTGGATCACAGTCCCCCTCACAGGCCCAGTAGTCCTGCAGCCTCCAGGCCTGGCCCAGGGCCCAGGGCCCAGGGCCCAGGGCCCAGCATATGGGAGCCTCAGCAAATGAGAGACAGGGAGAATTATGAAAGAATGTGGGAACAAATGAATGAATTGCTTGGTGTCTGGCAACATTCCCTAGCAGGAAATTTTTCAGCTGATAAAAGCCAGCCCAGCAGATCCCTGCTTGAATTACTGTTTTGGGTAACTGTGAATTAGCCTGCCATTTAGGAGAAATCTTGCAGCAATATTAAATGACTCTGGTTTGCAGAATGAGTCTTGAACTCCACTGTGCCAACGTAGGGGATGCTTTCTCCTATGTCCTAGTCACCTCATGGTATAGCACTGGGTCTGTCCCATGGTTTAAGGTACAGGGTGATGGAATCATGGCAGGATGCATCACAAGCTCATGTTTTGGGCATTAGCTTTCACAAAGTATAGAAGGAACACTCCAGGCTTACTCTTTGTTCTCATGAGTTTATTCTGCAGTGAAGCCAGTGTGCAGGACAGGCCGTGGCTTGTTGGTGGTATAACAGCAGCAATGCTCCCAAGTCTCCTGTCCATGTCTTTGTTTTTTCCTCACACAGCCACATGATGTTGATATCATTACAGCTTCATTGTTACCATCATAATCTGTAATACTGGGATGCTACCCTGAGGCCCAAGGTGGTCATTTTCCCCCAGGGTTGCAGTCCCCATGGTTACATAAGCACATGGCATCATGGCAACCTGTCCTTTGGCCATTGCCACTGGGGCAGTGCAGGAGCTAGAGCTGCATCTGTGGTTTCCCGGCCTGGTGCACCTAGGCCATGACCTCATGACCCTTGCCCAGAGCAGAACGCCCCACAGTGCTGTCATGGCTCTTCTGAGGACAGCCCATCATGGGATGCTGTGGGAGGCTCCTTTCCTGGCCATGAGAGGTCCTGCCTGGTGCCCCTGTTGACAAACTAGATAGTGTTCTCTTCTGTGACAGATTCATAGTCCTGCCCACCAAGCCCTCAGGTCCTCCTCATGCCTCCTGCTCATACCTCCTCCTCTTCCTTTTTTCAGTACTGGCCATGGGACAGGGCAGTTGAGGTCCCCATTAAAAGATGCTAAGAGTTA